CGCCGACTTGTCCAATCCAGTGCAGAATTAACTGCTGGGGAGATAAGTTTGGCATTTGGTCACGCAATGGAAGTTCGTCTGTCACGCCGATTGCAGAGCAGTGTTCCCCCCTTTTCACCATAGAATGTGTGTTTATTGCTTGTGATTGTCGGGGTATTTAAAGCATTACTCCCTAGGAACTGCAACATTAATTATGGTAAATATCATTATCTCTTTGGTGTTTTTCTATCTTATTAAACTGTTATTTTCAGGTTTCCTACCATTTAAAGGTAATTTTGTACGTGCCATGATAACTCAAAATACCGCGACTGAGCTCCTTTAAACAGTTCGATTATGAGCTCAAGATGTCTATTGCGTGATAGTCATACATAGAAATCGAGAGCGAATAATATAATATATGTATAAATGTACTAGTCATTCAGAACTTTATATCTAAATCCTTGTCACAGACACTTCGAAAATGCCAAGAAGCGGCCGTCATTTTGATAAGAAGGGCACACTGCTACGCTACTCACTATCTATTACAGAAGGTGAGTAGCGTAGCTAATCAAAGAACGGTGTTTGTGATAGAACGTTAGTAGATTTGTACTAAAACGCGATAGAAATATGGTACATGTTTTCTATTTCTTAAATAATAAACTCTAACCAAGCATCCACCTAGGGAATATTAATATTGACATCTTCCTCTTTTCCACATTTAGCCACTTGTTAATGTATGCCCTGCCTATTGGTAATCAGTTTTGACTTTGTACTCACACTGGCATGGCCTCACTATTGGTAACCACCACAGTGAGCACAAATAGCTATGGTCATAGAATTGCCCCCTTTTTGGTGGGATTATACAATATGTTGTATAATCTCATATAGCCAGGACATCTTGTGGGGTTTCTGTGTAAATGGGTTTCAAACCAGAATTATTGGTTTCTCAGCCATGACCATGTATGTGTAGCACGTAATTTTCAGCAGAACCAAGTGACAGCTGGAAATATGTCTGTGTTTGCAGGCAAATTTCATTGTGATTTATGATGTACATACATACATACATACATATACTTTATTTAACCTCGAATTTACAGAGTAGCTTGTTAGCTAACATCTTCGAGAGAAATAAATATTAGAAAGAAAAAGTAAATAGATAAAATAAAATAAAATGAAATACAATTACAATTCTATTATCATTTGTACACTATATATATTTACACTGTGGAAAGGCCTCATATTTAAGGATCTTTTGCTTGAATTGAAGAAAATCAGATGTCCTGTAAGTGTCCAGGAGAGAGTTCCATATTTTACTAGCTAAGTATGAAAAAGAGTGCAGACCACAAGTAGTTGTTTTTGCTTTGGGAAGGTCCAGAATATAATTACCACGCAGATTATAGGATGAGGTACGTACAGTTAACATATCCCTTAAATAAACTGGATAATAAGTAAAAAACAGACTCATATATAATGTAATGATGAAATTCTGTAGGCGTCTAATAAATAGCGATTTTAAGTTAACTTTGCTGAGTAAAATGGCATATGGACAACTGTAGTCTTCTAGTAACTACAGTTATTCGAGCCAGTATAAGCACTGTGCAATTTTACCAAGGTTTAATCAGTTAATATGTACCTCAGTCTGTAAATGCTCAAGTGTTAAAACACAGGGTTAACAGAATCAACAAATATATCTTCAAGGCCAAAACCTGAAAACTAATTAAATGAAATAAGAATGAAGATTTCGATTTTTAAAAATCAAGGGCTTGTACACCTTAGGCCAATTTTTGTTCATTTTGGGGAAACTGTTCTCATCAGTTCTGCGATACAAGTGCCTGCAGTTCTTTTTTCCTACCAAGTTTATTCAAGCCTTATCAAACTTAAAAAGCGCTGTTGTCCCACTTTGGAGTAGGACAAATTTTTTCCACATATGAAAACTGACAGATTTTTCAATTTACAGAACATGATTAGAAGGAAAACTGTCAACCTTTTAAACTTGATTTCACTTTGATCTCTCTTTGATCTTTGATCTCACCATGTGATTCACACTTTGTGGTAAACAAATATGGTACTGTTTTTGATTCCGGCCATGACTATAATCTGTTTTACAGACAGTCTACACTACCGGTATATATTGAGAACTTTGTGACACATCCGTTTACCACTATGACTAACTTTGGTCAAGATTTTTGATAGAGTCAAAGAATTTTTGTCAGCGTAGTGCAGGCTCTTAGTAACAGCTGATTTCACATGATTGGTACATGCCATACCAATGTACAAAATGTTATGTGTTGTAGGTGTGACAGTTTTCCAGGTGTGACAGTTTTGTTGGGCAAAAAACAAAAGAAACCTTTGTTTTGCTAAACGATGAAGTCACCGAAGCGTGGTATTAGCCGCTAGTTTTATTACATATATAATTACGCAATTCTCTTACTGTTGCTTTGTTAGCACAAGCGGATAAAGTGCTGAACGGGCCGCGGCTGAGTTTGTTTTGTTGTGACACCGGTTCGATACAAGGTTGGTCGATATTTTTTTCCGGTCTATTTCTCTACTTCCTTCAAAAATCAAAACATCTATATTTAAAAAAGTTGTGCTGTCGAAGCTGCTAAACGTAACCGTTTAAGTTCACACTGCGTCAAAATCCACCTTCAAAGGATTCGCTCCAAAAGATGCCGCTCAGAAAACTGAGTTTTTTTGCATATGTTATTTCTCAAAAACAAAGCGCAAATCAACAAAAACAATTACGCAACGATGCTTTTCATGTCAAAACAAGTCAGTCTGCCAAAAATTAGCTCGATCCTGCAAAAAATAAAAATCGACCCAAAATGCTACATACGCCCTTTTTCCACAAAAGCCTTCAATTAAATAAATACCACCCAACCTTTCACAACTATTTCTCAATCAGGATTCTCAATGGTACCAAAAGCAATACCTTTTTACAGGAAAGAACCCAATGTAGACCCAGAAATATTTTTGAGTATTCATTTTTAGACTTCAAAAGTTTTGATCAACAAGAAAATCGTGTACAAATGAAGATTATACAGTCTATACACAATAATATCTCCACTCCTGAAAATTGACCAGATTTTTTTTTTTGTGAAAACGGAAACACCGGGTCAATTGATTGATAAATACACCATTAAGTGGCACCCACAAGTCTGTAAAACCATTCTTGATAAAATCTAAAAGACTAAACATGACAGATACCACTGATTCCAGAAATGAAAGATAGCAAAACTTAACAGAATCAATTGCTGCACAAAATAGGGCTAAATGAGGAGAGATTGTTGTGTTATGTCCCATAGGGACTAAGAGCTAATTATTATTAGACGATATAGTAAGTAAACAGTATTCTGCAATAAATTTCTCACTTGAAAGTTGTAACGACTTGTCTTTGTTGATGCCACAAATCCAAAAAAATTCACTTACTTCTACACCTTTATCTTTCCACTGATTGCCTTTTCACTTGTGGCAATTCAACTCCCAGATACTTTCATTTAAAAACAAACCCCAACCAAATGGAACAAGACGATCTTTTAGATATTATAACTGCACTTTTAAAATTTAACTGTTTTCTTAGCACTATAGTTGCAATGCAGTGTACATTCCAAAGCAGTCCTTTATGATTCACTGATTACTGTAGACATCACATCACTTGATCAGCACAAACTGTATTATTGCACCATCAGTCGTAGCAGTTGTGAAATCTCCAGTGACATAATGGTCTTAATCTGGAACTTTCTTCAGGATATGTATGGGCATGAACGGTACAAACGCTTCAATAATAACACTATTAACAACAGCTTTCTTTCTTAAAAGTCATGATTAAATTTAATCGGTTTTTTCCATGAGTAAAGGGTTAGCAAAGTAGTCACACGAGTTACATAATTCAAGAATTACGTTACTCATGGCTATCTTTAGTACAGTGGTTATTTCCCTACCAGTGATATAATCCTTGCAGGTTCTGCCACATTCTTTGCTTGGCTTGCAAATATTTCATTTCTGAACTCACTTCAATAAAACAACACGATGATTCACAGCTCTTGTCTAAAAATACGAAAAACACTCAGAAAAGTAAAAAGACTATCACTCCTGGCGAAATAAACTTGCAAAGTAAACACGATCTTATTTGTCACATAGCGAAAGTGAAAGCTGCAACGTCAGCGCATTCCATGGCTGACGTAATACCTTTCTTTAGCGTTTTTAACTTCAATAGAACCAAAAGAAAATATATTTTTCACACAATAAAGAAAACAATATTCGTAGCATTGTCTGTGCATCAATGTTTCAACAGCTTTTGGTGAATAAACATCACAGGTTGCATAATTCAAAATTTGGCCAAGAGGAAGTTTGGGTCTGGTCAGCGACAAAACTAAAAAAAAATAAGTCCTGTGCAAACCAAGAACCACGCTCGCCCCGTGGCTGTGCGGTTAATTAAACAAAGCATAAGCCCACAAGTACGCACTGCAGACCTATTTTTTATTATATTTGCCATATCATTGACCTACTCTGTTTTGTCCTATTTTTGTCCCTTTCCTCCACATTCATTTTCTCAAAGACCTTGACAATGAAGTCGAAATGGGAACTCACAGCTTGGATGAAATTTTGGCTGCTAAAGATGAAGGCCAAATGTCACAACATGTTCCGTGTTTTTCATCATCTTCATCTTTCTCAAGTGTAACTATTGTTGACTCAAATGGGGTGAGTATAATTACCACAAAATAGCAATTTCAATGTTCCCAAATGGAGTAACCAGGCAATGATGTGGTATGCTCAGCAGACAGTGTAATCGACGAGTTTAAGGTGGCACTGACTGATAACTTTTTTCTGCAATTGACATAATTGATTGGTTAGCAGGCCAGGAAGTCTCTTCTTTTGAGTCTCTTGTCAAAACTAATGCCAGATACAATACATCAATGTCAATTTAGATAATCTTTTGCTTAGATCTCCAGTATGCGGTTGTTCTTACAGGTTACTGAAAAAAGGACCACAAGGAGGGATTCTAGTGGAAATGAAGAGGTAAAAGAAATGGAGTGTGCCATGTATTGTATGTTGCATGTACTATAATTTTTCTTATCATGTTTCAGTGTTTTAGAAAAAAATGATTGGTCACATATTGGTACCAGTATCATGTACTCTTCGCAAGGTAAAGGTGAAGTCCGCATACGAGCCCAGTGGCCCATCAGGCCGGANCCCCCCCTGGATGGGATGCTAGTCCAAGTGTTGCACTCTTCACAATGATAGCAGCTGAATTTGTAATAAACATTGATCTATACATTTGACAGTCAATAGTGATTTTCAGCCCATCAGCATCTTGAAAATTAGGAACTAGAAAGATAGATCTCATGATAATCTTTTGTTACCCAACTCTCTACCTACTAGTTGATTTTAACCAACTTCTTAGTTTAATAGCTTTTTTAACACAAAAATTATTTCACACTGCACAAGTTGTTTTCTTATGTTGTTCAATATTCAAAATCAGTAGAGTAGGAATTTAACTAAGGGTGCATTTGATTGTAGTTTGTATAGTGTGATCATCCTGTTGAGGGTAGCTTTGTGGTGAGTGACGTTTGACAACCTGAATGGAAGTGATCTTCAGATTTAATCATAGTGTTTGTCAGTTGATGGTGTTATAAGTCAGGTCCATTGCAACTGATTGGTCAGTTAAGCCGTGATGGTATTGGCTTTAAAACTTGTGTAATGTTTTTCAAAAGTCCCAGTCGGTTCTAGTAAGTTTCAATCCGTCTATTGTTAGTCAATTTAAGTCGGTTTCGTCTATGTCGTTGATAAGTCGTTTGTAAGGTGCCGTTAATTGTTGTCATCTGTGAAGAGGCTTTTTTCCTAGGTTCCAGAGTTACTAGCTTTAGAGCCTGGTTTCCAGTTGTAAAAATTGTTTACTTCGCCCTCATTTGATTGTTGCATCAGTCACAACAAAATACGACTAAAGTATACATACACATATAGTTATTCATGTAATACTACTGGGTTGGTGTGATATGTGCGCAAATGTACACATACAGCCATAACAACATAAGTAACGTCTCCTTCACTTTGTACATTACTTCCTGAAAAGAACCTTTTGTGTGCATAAACAAGATAAGGGTTTTCTTTATGTCTGTGGTGCTGAGGAGATAGTGTTTGCTTTATTCTCGGCAGGTAACGATAACACGAAGAATTGGTGACCAGACTCGTACTGTTACTCGAAGGAAAGATAATCATGGACATGAAGAGACCCAAGTGGATACCGTGAACATTGACAAGGGTAGGTAAATACTAGCTGGTCTATCTTGTCAATCCATCTTGTGCAGAGAGGGACAGGGACAGCAATATTTAGTTATTGATTGGTGGTTACCTCCCAGTCAGATAGGTTGAGTTTGTTCAAGTTATGGAGGATTTTTCTTTGGACATTCTGGTTTTCCCTCTCCCTTAAAGGCCAGTCTCTAAATTCCAGTTTGATCTTGATTTGAAAGACGCAGCTGGCAGCACATGAAAAGCATGGTCAGCCAAGTCACGTGTAAAGTAGCACTCCTCTTAGTACTTTGTATTTCTACCACGGTTTTGAGAAAAAAGCAAGGTCATTTTCTTTTGGAAAGGTTTGATCATGTTGATTTGAAAATTACTCAATAGTTCAGGGGCTTTCCATGTGTATTCAAATCTACAAAAGCTCAATACCCTCTTTTCAGTATTGATCAGCAGATCAGTGAAAATCGCACCTACATGTATGAAATAAGCAGCTTCCCAGTCTCACTTGCTCATGTTAGACTCGCCTCTCCCCTGTTAGTTTGATTGTTTCCTTTGATTGTACTGAAAGGTAACTGTGTATCATTTTCATCACATTTATTCATTCCTTCTCAGATGATATTAAAAAGTGCCGTCATTCACAAAGTAGAGGTGTGTTTTTGCCCTTACTGTTTTGTTAAAGATTTCGTTAAAAGTACGGTTTCGCACAATGCTGTTTTTGTAATCAATTTGTAAGTCATAAATGTTTTTTTGTTGCACTTTGAAATAGTTATCGGCGAATTCATGTAAAGACATGAGTCATGTAAAGACTCTTTTACGGTGATTTTTTTGTAAACTAATTACTTTTGTAATTCTACAGTTTGCAACTATAACAACAAAACAGTAACAAATGCAAGAAAATCATAACATTTGGCAGCTTGGCTGTGAAATTCTTGCTTCTTTGTTACTTCTGTTGTTAGGTTTGGAAATTTGGAAAAGAAGAAAGAAAGAGAGAGATAGTGTGGTACGGCGTGTGATCCCGTAGGACTTTCGTGCCGAAATTGATTTTTTCACTGTTTTGCACTTATTTTGGGCCGAACAATAACAATCCGATGGGGTTCAAATTTTCCGATTCCGTCTTCCCATTTTTCTGGCTACTCTAAGGATTTAATTTATGCTAATTTATGCTGATTAGATGCACAAAGTCTTCCGAACAACTTTACTCTTAGATTCAAGATACAGGGAACAAATGTTATACGAAGCTTACTCTTGATGACGTACATCGTATGACTTAACTTGGTTACCATGGCAACAAGCGATGACGTCAGCTTTAACTACCTGCTATTTTGGTGGTGGCCATCTTGGATCCACCATCTTGGATTTTCGAACTCTCATTTTTCTAAAGCAAAACAGTGAATCTTAAATAAACTTTAACTAACGAGTGATTTCCGTTATGAGCGATGTCTAGTTAAGTGCAGAACTTTCTTTTATTGTCCTTTTTTGCTAAACGCATGTACTCTTTCAGTTTCTCATACGAAAATATCATTGACTTTTGTTAGTCCCATAGTAACAACGCAGACGATTTTCGTCGTCTTTCTGTTATGTATAATACTAATGTACAGTTCTGTTAAAAGTGTTCGTGCATAAAATGTGACTTTCGAGTTCTTATGTACTAAGACCATCCTCGTCATTAACTCGTGTGCCGTCTGTGAATGGATTCAGTTTGTACAGGTTTTTCCAAAGCATTAACAAAGAGGAGTGCATGGAATTCCGTTCTTGAAACAGCTGCAGAGTCCCTTGCAGTCTGACTTGCAGTCGCATTTGGTAAGCTCAATAACAGCTTGGGGTGCAGGGAGAGACAAGCATATAACGGGCACGTATGCTCCTTAGTTTTCGCTCCAATCATTCTCTTTAATGAGGGGAAGATCTGGGCAGCTGGTGGTATAGGATTTGTTCGCATGGCTATGAAGTTTCCACGGTTGATGGCAGCATCTCACCTTCCAAGTTCCTGAGTCAAAAGAGCTCCCATCGAAGTTCAGGGAGGGTGGTAGATCCCGCTTTGCAGTACACTTAGCAGACAAATTTCTCTAGGTCTTTAACTTGAGTTGGCAGTTCTCCATTGGCTAACTGGTTTTGGATAAGACCCTCACCAAGCTCTCTGAAACAGTGGATTGCAAGATGGTCGTCATCGAGTGCCATGTAAGCTTTCACCCAGGAATTCTTCGTAATACCGACAAACTTCTCTCCCCAGTCGGCTCCGGTGAAGTAGTGCAATCTAATCAGACCTTGACACTTGTGTATTCCAATCGCTTGGACTCGCTGAGTAACATCAATCTCTCTGTAGTTTGCACCCTTGCCTGTCAAAAATTCAGGCTATTCAGGTTTCCATGACGTCCCCTGGAAACCAAGTTGAGTAGCAGAACTAGTACGTCAGTGTCCGGAGGGTATACACAAATCTCTTGCGACAAATGCTCATCTAGTGAACGCAAACCTGGTTAGGGATCAGCAGGTGTTGCGTTCACTAGATGAACCAGCTTGATGGTTGTGTTGCTGGAGAAGCACGCTAATAATCCATTGGCGAACAAAGTGACCAGTCTCAGCTTTTTCATAGCGTCCCATAAGGAGTGCTGAGAAGATTGTAACAGTTTGTCTTAACAATGCTTCAAACTGCTTTTGGCCCTTCTCTGTGTAGCACAGAATATCTTACTTTGCTTTTTCCGGCACTAGAGCTGACGACAACACACTCTTCAAGGGAGACTCAACTGTAAATGGGTTGCCTTTGCAGTGCAGCTCTATCGGCTGGCAGAGTTTCATGGTGTTTTTTCGCATCCTTACAGCAACATCCCAAGAGAGCTGATAGTGCTCGTTCCGCTCAGAAACCTCGGACACTTTAGGAAAGCGTTTTATTACTTGACCATACGGTAGAGAGGCAGTGACACGACAAGAAGGTGACCTAGGACGGCTTCATCTTGACTTAACCCGAACATACCTCCGGGGCGCTTTAATACTTTGATCTCCTGTTCTAGCGTCTGATCTGTCAACAACCTTGTGAACGGGATCTCTAACTTCGTTACAACAAAATCCTCGGACTTCAATGCCTCATATGTCATAAGCTCCTCATGCTCGAGTGCATTCATCTGTGCGAGGTGGACTGGCATTAGCCAAGCGCAGTTGAGGAGATTGTGCGCGAAGAAGTACTAGGCCCTTTGCAGGATCCGGTCACATGGTACGGAATTAATTACGCTGGGACGCAAGTTACACAGTGGGACTTCCAAAACAAAGGAACTCGTACCAGTCCAGCCCGACTTTCCTTTGTTTTGGAAGTCCCACTGTGTAACTTGCGTCCCAGCGTAATTAATTCAGTACCATGTGACCGGATCCTGCAAAGGGCCTCTTTATCAGGCATTCCATCGCTGCCAGGTAGCCTTCCCAGTCCCCAGAACGGCAAGCATGGATGAGCTGTAACAGGTTGTGCAATTACTTGAGGTACTCTATCATAAATCCCGCAAGATTTCAAGTCCTTGCTCTTCACGGTCTTGTGGTTTGATCTTTTCAGAGTACCAGGGCTGGATGTCGTCATAGATGTTAACCATTTCTGGACTACGCTCGTGGAGGGCCTCCTTAAAGGATACGAAGATGCGAGTAGTGTTTCATTTTATCCAGATGTTCACCATTCTCTGCGTTAGCCTTGCCTAAATAATTTCCATTACAAACTTGCCATGTTTTTAATTCGAAGCGACTCAAATTAGTATTTGATTCGGTGCATATGAAATACGACGTCTAAACCTGGCCTAAGTGAAAAAAAAACAGCCATTAAACTCCAAACTCTAGGCATGTTTCGCAATTTTAAGCCCTGAAAAGAAACTCGTCAGTTCAAGCAGCTTATGCTATCATTCGTTACTCAGGGTGCGTTTCTTTGTTAAGATCATTCCCCAGTATTGCACTGTGCATCCCTACTGCGCATAATTTCACACGTGATTAGCGCGCGCGCATTAAAAAATGGCGACTTTTTCTTTACGGCTAGACCTCGCCATAGAGGTAAATTCGTCATTTCCTCGAAAACGAGTACAGTGACCTATCTTTTTTTCTGTTGTTTTGAATTGAGTAATAAAGTTCTCTGTGTAAAATAAATATGAACCAATTCTCCGTGTAGACCAAGAAACAATCGTCAGAAACGTGAATTTAGCAAGCAATTGTGACTATAATCATGGTGTTATTATTTAGCTCTTATTAACCGAGCTGGAGGTCTGTATGGGAGAATCTTGACCAAGGTCGTACGACGAACGTTATCAAGAGCAAGCTTCATGTAAAGTTTGGTCCCTGTACCTTGAATCTAAGAGCAAAGACATTCGCAAAACCTATTTTTGCATCTAATTAGCATTAATTCACACAAATTTAGTCCTCGAGGAGCCAGAAACATGGGAAGACGGAATCGGAAAATTTGAACCTTTTCGGATTCTTATTATTCGACCCAAAATTAGTGCAAAATAGCGAAAAATTCCATTTCGGCACGAATGTCCTACGGGAGCAATTTTTCGGACATACCGGACCGCACTAAGAGAAAGAAAGAAAAAGTAGGGGTTAAAATCTATGCAGGGTAATATATGTATTTGTAATGATAGTGCAAGCAAACAAAATTTACAAATTTTAATTGTAATGAACAACTTGGGGGAATTTTTCTTTCTTTTTTGGCAGTTCTATGTAAAACACCACCACCGCCACCTAGTTCTAGGTGATATGCTTCTGCTGTATTTTGAATATATTTGTTGATTAGTTCTAGTGTGGCGACAAATGATTCAGTCTTTATCCGGTCGAATATTCTTTATTGTGGAAAAGTACTTTGAAGCCTAGATCTATAAGAGTAACCCTGAACCAGGGAAAAGCAATGTAAATGCTGTCTACTTTTATTCATCCGTGGAAATATTCGAATCAGTCGCACAGAGTTTGTTTACAACTGAAGCACGTGCTTCCAGCAGTTAAGAATGATGTATGTAAAATATTAGACTTGCCACAAGTGGACCTCATGAGTTTCAGTGTATAATAGGTAAGCGAGCGAAGCGACCTGAATAAACAAGACGAAGGACTTTTATGAAAGTCTAGTAAAATGTATACTTTTACAAATTAGCTTTTTACACTTAAACATTACCAGTAAATGTGAAAATATTCATCATGAAATTCGAAGGCAAATGTAAATATTTTGGTTCTATTAAACTGACATACTGAAACTGGCGGCGTCACACAACGCATCGGCAAATCAGAGTTTATAGAAGGGACCTCTACTTGCCAACCAGAAAACCATAGGAAACTGATACTGGCATGGATTTTGTCATGTTATTTCTGTCTGGCTGATTATTTCTGTCTGTAAAACCTCGATTGCTGATTTAAAAAATGTCCATTTAAGCAATAGACAGGTGTTGAAAGCCCGCTAAAAATGAAATCATTCAAGGTATTACGGTGAAGGCATCGAACGAGGCTGGATTTCCGCCGCTCTCTCGAGTCCGGTCTACGTTCCTCCCCGTACCTTCAGAGGAGGAGCGCAGACTCCTTGCCCGAACAGCGGCTGGTGATTGAGCCTAGCGTCAAACGCACTCCCATAATCTTTGATTACTACTACTGTCAAACCTCCGGTTGCGACCACCTCTCCTCAGCGACCAATTTTCCAAAACACCAAAAGTTTCCCAGTCAAATCACTGTATTTGGAATCTCTTGTAAGGGACCACCTCTCGTATCAGCGACTGCGACCACTTTTAGAGCTGAAAGTTTGAAATTTTCTTTTGTTTTTAAACTCCCGGAAACAACCATTGACAGATAATACAGCATAAATTGGATAATAAGGTGTTGTATTCAGCATTCCTGAGTAGTAAAAGAGATGGAAATTTCTTAATGGGTTAAACCGGATTTTTTTCTCGAAATTGACTTTTTACATAAATAAAACATTAAAGCACGGGGTAAGTTTCTGCAGTTACCATATGCTAAAGTTTGACTCAGTATGGTCTAAGCTCCCGTAAGCGACCATCTCCTGAAAGTGACCACCTAGGCTTGACATTTTGGGTGGCCACTTATTAGTCTGCCAACAGGCTCCCAGCGAGGACGGAAAAAAATTTCGGCTAGCGCGAAACAGAAGAATTCGGAAAGCGAAGCAATTGGGCTCACCGGGAGCCTGTTCGCAGGCTAGTCACTTTTGGAAGGTTCGACTGTAATAATAATGATATCAAATTTTCTTTCCTTGTCAGATGTCAGTGAATTCTTCCGACACCCAACGCCCTTGTCCTCCATTTACGATTCAGTCTTGGAACAGTTCTTTCCAAAACGAAGATAGCGCTGCAGAGCTCCCCCGCCCCCCCAAAACAGAGAATGAGAGAAGTAGAAGAAATCTTAGCTTCACAGGAGTAAAACTGTGCTTTCATTTAAGGAAAGTGGACGATACAGTCTGTCGCGCGTGGACCTCGGTTGACAACAGAGAAGTAGTTTCAGCACAAAGTGTTTTGTCATCCCTTCTCAGGAAGAAATATGTGTAGCTGGGCGCCGGACTTATTATCTTGACGTGTCGTAGACTTCAGTGACAGATTTTATAATATGGCGTTCATAAGTTGGAAATAACTAGGAAAAGTTTACAGATGATTGTGATGTGTTCACTTTTCTGACAGTGCTGTATTGTTTTTCAAAGTATCCCGGATTAAAGTGGACATTTTGAGTGTTTGTAGGGTCTTTGGGTTTGCACTAGTCTATCACAGAACAAATTGCANGTCAGATGTCAGTGAATTCTTCCGACACCCAACGCCCTTGTCCTCCATTTACGATTCAGTCTTGGAACAGTTCTTTCCAAAACGAAGATAGCGCTGCAGAGCTCCCCCGCCCCCCCAAAAAAGACAATGAGAGAAGTAGAAGAAATCTTAGCTTCACAGGAGTAAAACTGTGCTTTCATTTGAGGAAAGTGGACTATACAGTCTGTCGCGCGTGGACCTCGGTTAACAACAGAAGTAGTTTCCGCACAAAGTGTTTTGTCATCCCTTCTCAGGAAGAAATATGTGTAGCTGGGCGCCGGATTTATTATCTTGACGTGTCGTAGACTTCAGTGACAGATTTTATAATATGGCGTTCATAAGTTGGAAATAACTAGGAAAAGTTTACAGATGATTGTGATGTGTTCACTTTTCTGACAGTGCTGTATTGTTTTTCAAAGTATCCCGGATTAAAGTGGACATTTTGAGTGTTTGTAGGGTCTTTGGGTTTGCACTAGTCTATCACAGAACAAATTGCA